TGATGCAGACATCTACTCTGGGGTGTAAGGGGAGTGGGTACACACACTGAGACCAAAGTAAGGTTTTTGAATCTGACAACTGGGAGACTGTTTCATATGAGGAATATCCAAATATAAACATGGAATGTCAGACAAGGTAGCGTGAAGACAATGGTCACATGGGAATGGAAGTGAGAGTGTTAGCTTGGCCTGAAGAGTCTGATTCTCCATGTAATCCTAGTGCACAGGAGGTGTAGTAAGGGGAACCAGAGCCCAAGAAGAGTGGGGAGGGCATCACATGTGGGAATCCAGTGATGTAACCATTGTTCTAAAATGAAGTGTTAGAGCCCTGTGAGGTGAGAAAGGTGTTCCCAATGGAAGATGGCAGCCTGACATGGAGTGCACTGACCTGCTAGGTAGGATGAGGGTCATCCACAAGGTGAGGGACAGCCTTGTGAGCTATGTCAGGGGCAACTTGAGTGAGGAAGGAGTCTGCACTGGGAAGGAGACAGGGCAGAGCTAGCCTGGTGACATACAGAAAACTTGACCAGATAAGGAGTTAATGGGAACCAAATTTTTCACTGACAAATAAGAACGTTACATTATCTGAGGGGAAGAAAGTGATAATATTTTGGTGTTCAATTAGACCGGCTTATATGTGTATTCTTATCATTTTCAATACATGGAGATATATAGAGAAATTACCATAGGTTTATATTGGTATGTATATCTGGATCTATCAGTCTATCATCTGTCTATCTGTCCATCTATCATATTTAGGCTCTGACCATTGAGGAGATCTGGGATCAGCTCAATAACCATGAGCTTATCAGACACAGCTTATTAGCTGACTCTGACATAACAATCTTAAAATAATAGAGGTTCTTAAAGAAATAACAGAGTCTGGGAAAGTATAGGGAAAGTACAAAGTGTGCATGAAATATCTTGTTATGTCAGTAAACAAAGAAGTATGCAAAGTATAATGAAAATATTTCAAAACTATGAGGAAGACAGCTGGAGGAATCCCCAGTGGACAAAGCTGAGTACAGCTGAAGACATAAACATATAACAAAATAATTATATTATTTGATTATTGGCCATGGAATAAATAGAAGTGGGTAATAAAATAGTCATATAATTTGTATTATAGTCAGGAAAAATAAAATGTTTTTTATAATGTCATCTTTTACTAATGTGCTTTTTGTATTTTTTTTAACCTTTTGTTCAATTTTATTTTTTTTCATTATTCATGACAGAGCACATATATGTTCATGTGAGAGAGACAGAGAGGAGCAACCACAACAGACCTCATCACACCTTGATCCCCGTCCTTCCAGTTCTCCAGTTCATTGGATATTGGGCACTCACTTGTGTGTTTGGCCTGTTTCAGCTGACCTGGCTAGAAATTGAAACAATTGCCATATGTCTTCCAGTACCGTAGTGTAACACTCTTCCAACTGTGTCACAGAAGCTGGTATGGCCTTTAAAAAAAAAATTGGAAGGAAGCTAGCAGATGGAGTAGTGGTTATATCACTGGATTCCCACATGACCAACAGTGGTTCGAGTCCCAGACATGGCGTCTTGAAACCCATGCTGGGTGTGTGTGCTTGCATGCCCAAGGTCCCCATAGGAGGATGGAGGATAAAGATTTGTGGTGTGACCATCCCCCTGGAGGTGATTTCTCACTTTTCCTCTCACTGTCTCTGTCTCTCTCCATAAGTGCATGCAACCTAAGGCAAAAATCTCTAAAAATGTTTTCAACTGTATGCTGATATAACATTATTATCCCTATCTTTTGGTAATCTCTTTTATTTTATTTTGTATTGGTTAAACTTCATAAGCATTCATTTTCCTTAACAAGTGTTCCTTAATCCACACATATACTTCACCATGATCTTTACAAAGCTATCTGAATTGTAATATCTAGTGCTTTACATTATTTCCTCATGTTTTTGTTGTTTGCCATTCCAATCTCAGGCTTCTTGAAAATCTCTTTCAATGTCATTAAAAATTATTGCTTTTTCCCCAATGACATATTTTTTTCTTTTTTCTTAAAACAATTTCTAAAGCATTTTCTTCTCTTTCATGTCATTTAAGTGTAAATATTTCTCTTTATTCTAACATTCACTATGTTCTTTCTTGGGTGATCTCCTGTGCTCTAATGCAATTTCAACCATATACATTCTTCTACCTTTCTATCAATGGAGGATTAATGCTTATTTCCAGGCAAAATGTCTCTTATGCTATTAAGTCTCAAAGGTCTCTACGCACATGTTCCATAGCCATCACCACTTGGCATGCTCTACTTCTACTCTATATATGACCCTCCTTCTAATGCCTCCAGTCCAGATTGTTATTAAGATAGCTTAGAAAACTTTCTAAGGGGATCAGCAGATGGCATGATGGTTATGGCTCTTGACTCTCATATAGTCAACTGTGGTTTGAGTCTCAAAACCAATTGCTTAAAACTCATGCCAGGAGAGTGTGAATGCATGCTCAAGATCCCAAGAGGAAAACGGAGAAGGGATTGTGGCATAACCACGACCTTTGGCGGGGGAAGCGGGGAGTGAGGATGCTTTTTTGCTTCTTTTTAAATTTTAATTTGTTTTATACATTCAGTCTTTCTGTCTCTCCAGCGAGCATACTCACCCTTAAGCAGAAATCTCTCTCTAAAAAAAGACTTTCTACATATGCCATTCCAGAAAATTTTCATACATTATCTCTTTCTATATTAAGGTCTTGATATTGTTTTCCAAATAGTAATACTTAAGAGACTATTTGGGCTGCAGTATAGGAAATATATTGATTGGACTTACAAACAGCAGCTGGGGAGCAAGCGAGTGGTAGAGGTTAAGGTGCTGAACTCCTATAAGGTCAACCAACATTTGAGTCCCAGACCTTGTCGCTTAGAAATCATGCCAAGCACATGTGAGTGTGTCCAAAATTCCAGGAAGACAGTGGAGGAGAGGAAATTGCACCACAGTCTTCTCCCTTGCTGGGTGATTTCTCACTTTCACTCTCACTGTTTCTCTCGTCAGTGTATGCACCCTAATGGCAAAAACCTAAAGTAAATGAATAAACAGGAGCTGTTTCAGCCTCACTCTCATTCTAACAGGCATCTCTGGATTAGAAGTGGTACAAATATAGACATCTATTCTTCTGTGTCAATTAGGTAATTGACTAGGGCACTGCACCATCCACTTTGTTATCAAACCACCAACCTTCATAAATCTGAGTACATTTTCCTATCTAGGCCATAGCAGTTATAGATGGAGGCCTGTCTTTATCAACACTACCTACAATACCCAATGTCTTTCTTCTGAATCACGGGAAGACTAGTACTAGTCCTCCTTAACATAGATGCTCTTTATCCACACTTTCTCCTCTGTAAGTCAGCAATCTTGCTCACCATGGCCTTCAACAGGTTTGTAGTATTTGTAGCCCAGTGCACTGTACTGTAGTTGTACATGTTCCATGAATAACTGGGATAGGACTTTGCAACAATGTAAACATTAATTTGAGCATGAAAGTAATATTAGATCAAGGCAATTCAGATACTATATAAATAAAGATGGAGATAGTAAAATCTTGAATTACCAAGAGGACTAAGAGATACAGATTAACACCCTTAGGAGATATAATTAGGAGATAAAATGAGTGAAATTAATGAAGATGAAATGTGAAGAAATACAAGCTGCACATAGAGACAATAGAATATATACATATATTAGCTATGGTCACATAGAAGATCTAGTCACCATTGGTGTAGAGGGAATTTACAACAAAGGAGCCTTTGGAACAGAGTTAATGAAACAACAAAAGAGCATTTGGAACAGAGTTAATGAAATGAGTTATGGGTTACATTTAATTTGAGTACTGTTATCATAAAGTTATTCATGTCCTCATGTAAGAAAATCAAAAATGACTAACAAACATCTCAGTATATTTGTATAAAATGCATTTCAAAACTGTGGGACACATACAAGGCAGTAAAGTAAAATATAATCTGTGTGAAACGAGTAATGTCCTTTACTTTAGAATATTAGTGAAAGGGATTGGGGAGAGTTTTCTTGAATATCACTCAATTATTTGATAAATGAACAGAATATTATATAAGCAATGTATTTATTTACTTATTTTTCCTTTTATTTATCTAGACATAATGCATACACACATGTGTGAAAGAGAAGACAGAGAGAGAGACAGGAGAGAAGAGGGGAAGAAAAAGAGAGAAGAGAAAATGCACCACTCCAGTGGGGCTAGTCATTTTTCAATGTTTTCCTTCAATTCTCCCCCCAATCAGAATACTGGGCATGAGCACTCCCTTGACTTGTAAGCTACCAAAGCTACAATTTGAACTCTGGCGGGATCCAGCTTTCTTGTACAGTGCCTAACCTTGTGATGTAGGGCCAATCCCTAAATAATTTATTAACTTACTGCTTTCACTCAGCAAGTCTGGACTTTGATACAGTTATAGTAGAATAGAAAATATAAATGAATTTTCTCTTTTTAAAGTTGTAAAAGCAGAAGAGAGGAAGACAAAAAAATAAAATCAAAGATAATAGAACATAGGAGGAAAAGCCAAAAAGTGGAAAAGTAAAGAATGGATGTCAATAAAGTTGTTGAAATTTTTGCATGCTTTACAAAATAAATGAGTTAAAAATTTTATTTGAAAACATGGAAGTGCACTAGGCTTTCCTTTTGATAAGGGATACTCTATCTAAGGGTCTCTCATCTGCCTCAGTTTTGTTTCCAAAACATTTCAGAATATATGTTAAGAAAATATGGGGACAAAGAAAATACTATGAAAATAAAAATGTATTTATTAATGAAAGAATATTTATGTATTATGTATTTATTAATGAAAACCATAGTTTACAATATTTCATCCTATAGTTATATCAGTATCCATATTCAAGTTGTAAAATTTCAACAAAGATAAATAATTTTTATACAACTAAAGATTTTGAATTTGTATCCCTCCCCCCCTCACTTAAATCACCATTGTTTTATCTAATTGTTCACCTTCTCTGGATCTTGAAAGATTTCCTCAGGGCAGCACGGATCTGCTTGGTCTTCAGGCTGTACACAATTGGGTTGAGCATCGGTGGCATAAAGAGGTAGATATTTCCCAGGACAGCGTGTACTAATGGAGAACTTTTGTGGCTGACTCGATGCATCACAGTTATTGCCATGTGAGGTCCATAGTAAATAAGGACAATGAAGATGTGAGACAAACAGGTATTGAGTGCCTTCATTTGGCCTTCCCTGGAAGCAATGCTCAGCACTGCTTGGAATATCAGAACATAAGAAAGGGCTATTAGCATAAAGTCAGCCCCAAAAGAAAAGATAACCAAAACCAGCCCATAGAGAATGTTGATTTTGACTTGGCCACAAGCCAGCTTCATGACATTGGGGTGGAGGCAGTAGGAATAGGAGAGTGTCTGGCCCTTGCAGAAGGGTAGCCGCTTAAGCAGAATAGGCAATGGAGTCATGAGAACTATGCCCCTCAACAAGGCCACCAGCCCCATCAAGGCGACTCGTGAGTCAGTTAGTATTGTGGTATATTGCAGGGGGTGGCTGATGGCCACAAAGCGGTCAAAGGCCATGGCTAACAGGATTCCTGAGCCCATAGAGGAGAACGTATGGATAAAGAAGAGTTGAGTGAGGCAACCATCAAATGCAATTTCATACATGCCTAGGAGAAAAACCTTGAGCACAGAGAACAGTGTGGAGATGGACAAGACAATATCGGCCCCAGCCAGCATGGACAAGAAATGGTACTGGGGCTCCTGCAGGCTGCGCTCATTCCTCACCAAGCATATGACTGTACAGTTGCCCACCATTGTAGTGATGTACATCAGGATCAGAAGTGGTCCTAGCCACAGGCGTGCACCCGCCAGCCCACGGAGACCAGTGAGGATGAAGACAGAGGGCTGAAATGTTGTGGTGTTGGATTCAGACATGCAAACGCTGAGAAATCTTGCTCAGAACAGTTTCTCAGACCTAGATCTTCAGAAAGAGAAAAAATAAATAAAATCTCAAATTCATCTTTAAAGAGTGGTTTTTCAACTCATTAATTCTCCCATCTTTTAATAGGATTGATTGTCTTTTTTTGGAACAGCTGCTTGAGTTCCTTGTGAATTCTGGTTATCAGTCCCTTATAAAAGAAAATGAAATGAAAAAAAATAAATAAAATTATATTAAAAATTTAAAAATTGTCCAATACAGAAGACTCCTTTAGTTTGGAAAAATACTTCCAATGGATGTTAAAGACTAAGCATGACAGATTTATCAAAAAGAAACTGATATTAATAAGTCTTATGTCTGAGAATTAAAGTTCTCTTTTTCTTTTGTTATTGCTGTGGCATCAGGGAATTCCTTTATTAGGAATTTCTATGAATGACAGTTCAGACACATTGGTTGGGGTAGGTAGTGGGAAGGAAGTAGAAAAAATAGATTTTAAACCTGAGATGATTGTGATTAGTTTACTTTGTATAAAGTCCATTCTATAAAAAAATAACTTGGTACAGGGACCTAAATTATCTTAAGTAACAGGTTCACCAGTGTCTCTGAAATGTTTATCACTACAAGAAATGTTGTGAGCTAAATTGAACTGAACTGAATTGAACTGAATATTCTCCCTCTTCTTTTCTTGTTCTACTTACCATAAGCTTTATCTGTGGTTACATTTTCAGAAGGAAACTCTTTCTATTCCTAAACCAACATATATAACTGCCATTGCACACAGTACTTCAATTTCAATCTATGGAGATGTCCTTACTCTTTAGCTAAGATAATTTTTCTCTCAATTGAGCCAATGTTGGAACATTGTTAATCCTTTCACCTTTCTCTTATAAGTACAACCTCACTGTCTACTTGATTCTTCACATCTGCAATGTAATATATTCAAATTATAAAAATATATACAGTACTGGACAGTGGTACAACGATAATACAAAGCTCAGCAAGGTTCTGGTTTCATGTTTGGAGACCTTCCAGAATACACCAGGTACATCTGGCTCATGATCTGAGGCTGGCTGAATGTGGGCAGCAGATTGAGACATGAAGACCCTTTAGAGGGTATTTCTCTCTCTCTTAGACTCATGTAAGAAAGAAAGAAATAACCTTAAAAATCTTATTTACACACACACACACAAACACACATATATTTGAAAAAAATCTATTTGAGCCTATTTTAATTCTCCTTGGAAAATCTTAGGTTAGAATTGTGTTTGATTCTTTGACTAAGAGTGCATAAGTTGGAGATCTATTTTGGGAGATCAGCAAGATAATTATTCTTTAAAATTAATTATTGTATCCATTTTATTTATTATTATTGTTATTATTATTAGTTAATTTGTTATAGAGCATGTGTGCTTACCAGAGAAAGAGAGAGACAGAGAGAGATTGGGAAAGTGAGAAAGCAAGCCTCCAAGTCTGGGACTCAAATCACAGTTGACCACATGTGAGTCCAGTGCCTTAACCACCACACCACCTGCAACATGATTTTTTTTTAGATCATAGCTCTGTCACTAAATATTATTAGTATTGCTTAGGCTTATATTAAAGTGATATGTAAGTTATGTCTTAGAACAATGGCATTTCAATACAGACATTGAGGTCACATTTGCTTGTAGGTGAATGTTACCCAGAAATAGATTAAAACAAACACAAAAAATAATGTTCATAGCCTGACATCAAAGAACTTTTCAGTGCTCAGAAAAAGCAAAATAATTTCTGAGTTGTATGATCCATTAATTGCTTATTTTCCAGTTACAGCCTTTATAGATCCCCAAACCCTCACATCCAATTGTTTAGGTTTACCTTGACATCGATGGCTGGAGAAACTGAGTGAACCTGGTACTCTAGTTCTAGTACCTGCAGTTTGATGGGATTACTTATCACTGTGGCTAATGCTCCCAGTGGTATTGTAAAACAAATTTCATTTTCTTAAACTCTTGTTCTGATTTTCTCATGGGATACTTACACATAAACACACACATCCCTAGTGCTATAATTAATCTGCCATTTACCATTTGTGGGTTAATGGAGTAAGAGGGAGTTGTTTAAGAATGTTCAGCAATGGAGATCATCAGTTAAAGGGGAACCTGTTGAATGTTCTGAGACCACCACTGCAAACAGAGGAAAGCACAGATCAGAAACATCTTAGATAAAATGAATTTTAATTCTCTTGGTGAATGGGAAAGATGACAAAGGTTAAGGTAACTGATAAGATAAGACTTGTTTCCTAAGATGAGTCATAATAAACAAATACAAAGTTTAAATCATTAACAATTGATTAATTGATCCCTGATTAATCAATTAATCAGTTGATTAATATATTTTCTGATGACTCTAACATACACTAGATGCACAAAACATTTTAAAGATTCAGATATGTTTTCAAAATCAAAGCTCTAATATACTATGTGAATTTAGGTCTTATTATGATGTCATAGAAATCAATACAGGGAGTATTAGTATAAGAATCGTCACACAGGTCATTGAAATAAATTAGTTTTTCAGTAGAGGAAATGGATTAATTGCTTACAGTCTACCTACCAGGAAGAAAAAAAAAAAGGCTGAAAAGATCAATTACAAGTACATGAACCTATAATATAGGGCATATGACCTATAGCAAAAATCTCTGGGGGAATAAAAAAGAATGCAAAAAAAGTCCAAGTTTGTTGGTTTCACTGATGAATTTTACAAAAAGTTTTCAAGGAACTAACACTAAAACTTTCAAACTATTCCTAATGGAAATAATTCTCCCAAACTTATTTCATGAGGCCATTCATTCACCATGATGAAACTCCTGAGCAAAACTGTAGTAAATTGAATTCTACAATACATCAAAAGTATTCTATACCATGATCAAGTAGTTTTCATCCCACAGATGAAAACATGATTCCACTTTTGCAAATTAATAGGTGTGATATATTGCCTCAATGAAGAATAAATGTGACATATTAAATCAACAAAACATTATTAAAATCCACAGCTAACATAAAACTGAATGAGGAAAAGTTGAAAACTTCCCTTCCAAAGACTAGAACACAATGATGCTCCCTTACCCCTCTTCTATTCAACATAGCACCTTGGTCCTAGCCAAAGCACTTCAGCGAAAGAAAGAGATAAAAGACATTCGAATTGGAAAAGAAGTTAAATTGTCTGTACAGACAACATAATCATATAACAAAAAATAAATAAATAAATAAGTAAATAAAGAATCCACCAAAAACTCTTAGAATTCAGTAAAATTACAAGACATAGACTTACCGTGCAAAAATCAATAGCATTTTTGTATACAAACAACAACTTTGCTGAGAAAAATATCAAAAAAGCAATCCCACCTACAATAGCCACAAAACCTAAAAATACCTAGGAATAGGTTTAACCAAAGAAATGACCGATTTCATCAATGAAAATGATGAAATGAACTGAAGAAGACACAAGAATGGAAAGACAGCTCATGTTTATGAATTTGAGAATCAATGTATTAAAATGTTGATACTACCCATTGTGAACTACAGATTCAATACAATCTGTATCAAAATGTTGATAATATTCTTCTCATAAATATAAAGCAATCCTAACATTTGTTTAGAATGACACAAGACCTCAAATATCCAAAACAATTGTGTACACAAAGAATAAAGTCGAAGGCATCACAGTATCTGACTTCCTCTCTCCTCTATTCTCCTCTTGGGATATTGGGCATGCACACACACATGCCCAGCATAAGTTTAAGTCACCAGGTCCATTACTCGTACCACAGTCAACTACATGGGAGTACAGTTGCATAGCCATTAGGCTAACTGCTGGTCCCACAATGTAAGAAGTAAATTTTGAATGTGTACAATACATAATGAAAAATGCTGAAGTTGGTAGATATGTTTCTTTCCTAAGTTTGATTATTACACACTATATAATACTTTAAACTACATATTATATGTAAATAAGAAATTATAATAAAAATTATTATATAAAAATTAAATTATATAACTTCAAATACATATACTAAAATAAAATGGTTTTGAATTTGTTTTGATTTTCAATTAGGAAATGACTTATTAGGACTTTAAAGGATGAACCACAAAGAAAGAAAGAATAATTTACACTTTATCAAATTTTAACAAACCCTGGTATTTGAAAACTACAATTATACAAAAGAAGAGAAATGTTACTGAAAGAAAATGTTTACTTGATGTAGGCAAACTAAATTCAGTTCAGGGAATAAAATGTAAAAGTTAAAGTCATAAGAAATACTTGGGACCAACGGTTAGAGTAATGGCTATGTCACTGAACTCCCATGCAGTCGACCGTGGTTTGAGTCCCGGACCCGATAGCTTAATCTCAAGCCAGGTGGATGTGTGTGCTTGCCCAAGATCCTGAGGAGAACGGAGGAGAAGGGATTGCGACATGGCCATTCCCCTGGGGGGTGATTTCTCATTTTCTGTCTATCTGTCTCTCTCTGTCTCTCTGGTGAGCACACACACGCAAAAATCTCTAAAAAAAAAAAATACTTAACATACCAGAAGCATTTGATATATTGTTATTACTAAAATTGTTGTTGTCATTTTCATGAATTAACTTTCCAAATCAATTAGAATACTAGTGCCACAAATTGAATTTACATATTTTTTTCTTTTTATCAATTTTTTTTTACATTCAATCTCTGAATATCATTGCAGCATGCAAAATAAATTTTCTCAGCATGAATGATCATTGAGCAAGAACAGAACAGTTTAGCTGATCATTTATGAGGCAAAGAAAGGGAATTTAGATTGTCCTTGTCTAGCCTTGTCATAGCTAAAGAAAAAAAAGGAAATCTCTAAATCTTATCTAAGTCAGTCCTTGCAGTATTCAGTTTTCTTGAGTACCAAGGACAGGGGAGTTTCTCAACCTTTGCTGTTTTCCAGGACCCCAGGCCTCACATAAAAATCAACATTATCAAATGTAT